GCCCCGGCGGGCGAGCACACGAGCCTCTCGGGCTGGTGAGCGCCGGTCGGCGCCGATCCTCTGTGCGGGAATCTCTCCGCTTTGCCCTCCGCACCCCTGTTGCTGCGCTGTCCCCCGCGGCTCCGAAGCTCCCCGCTCCGCCACCCGCAGTCTCCGCCCGCGACGGGGCTCCTAGTGTGTGGAGACCTTTCCGCCTTCCCGGCTCCCTCCCACTGGTGCAGGTGCCGTCCCTATTCTTTTGTCTCTGTTTTTAATTAATTTTTTCTCGTGCCCTACCCAGGTACGTGGGGAGTTTCTTGCCGTTTGGGAGCTCTGAGGTCTTCTGCCAGCGTTCAGGAGGTGTTCTGTAGGAGTTGCTCCACGTGTAGATGTATTTCTGGTGTATTTGTGGGGAGGAAGGTGATCTCCGCGTCTTACTCCTCCGCCATCTTTCCACCGCCCCCCCTATATATGATTATTAACAATCAGTTTTATTCTCATCTACAATTCTAATTCAAACCTTGAAATTATACTTTTTCTAGCTAGTGTTTCTAGTTTTCCACCTTTGGTAATTAAATTAGAGTGTGAAATTTTTCCCTCGTATTTAATTGTCAGAGTGTTGCTGTCTCGACGTACATGAAATTTACAATAGCGGAACTCAGAATGTCACAGTAATCTGTCAATGCCTGTATGTGTAATTGATGTGCATCTGTTGCATGTAAAATGAAGTTCTAAGTCCTGGGTCATCGTCCTTTAAAAAATTAGCATAAAAGATCACTACTTTAGGGGGAAAGAAAGCAAGTACATTTACTTTGTAAACAATTCAAGGGAGAATTTGATGGAGTAAGAATTTTGACCTGCCTTTCCGACGCCTTGGAAATCAGGCTCCGTGTGTCTTTAACGGGAGAATTGTTTTCTGTTCTCTCCCAGCCTCTGTTCCCCAAGAAGAACTATGAGTGCCTGACCAGCTGTGAGTTCCTCAAGTACATCCTGTCGGTAAAGCAGGGGGATTGCCCAGCTCCCGAGAAGGCCAGCGGCTTTGCTGCTGCCTGTGTCGAAAGTTGTGAAGTGGACAGTGAATGCTCTGGGGTTAAGAAGTGTTGTTCCAATGGATGTGGACACACCTGCCAGGTGCCCAAGACTCTGTACAAAGGTAAGGAGCAGAGCGGAGTAGGCCAGGGGACCTCCAGGGTCACAGGGGGGTTTGTGTGTGTGTGAGGAAGGATGTCGAAGATGTGACTTGGAAGGAAAGAGAGAACTGTAAGAAGATTTACCTTGTGCCACATACAAACATCTGAAAATACTTACTGGACCATAGAAATCAGCGCCAGTGAACTCATATTGGGGTGGAGTAAATCCTTCATGGGAATTCTTCTTATTTTTTTTTTGAGGTATGGTTGATTTACAGTATTAGTTTCAGGTGTACAATATCGTGGCTTGGGATTTTTATAGATTACACTCCATTTAAAGTTATTACAAAATAATAGCTATATCATATGAATTCGTTTAGAAGTTAACATGTAGGAAGGCCACCATCAATTCAGGAACTTTTTTTCTGTTTTTCTCCAACATGAGTAAATGAACGAAGCTCCGCTCGCTACCTTGGAGTAACTGTATTCAAATCCTTGGAAAACGGGCTGGCGATGGGGCCCAGCTGAAAAACGCATAATAGACGCATGAGTATTGTGGGTTTTCTGTTGGCATAATCCAAGAACAGAAGTGTGCTTGCAGGGAACTTTAAATATTTTGATTAGTATCTTAAGTTTCCAGATGGAGGAATTGCCCTCTTCCAAAAGATAGGGATGCAAGTTATCAAACAATTTAGCTGATGTAACAGTTTACATCCATAGGAGGTTTCTAGAGCACTTAACTCCTTTATGCTGTTACATGCCTCTTTCTGTGAGTGTGACAAAGTTCTTGTATGTTAAACTGATGATGTTGTATTATGTATAGTTTGGCGTGCCAAAAAGCATACTATGGGAGACATAACATTTCGTTACTTTTTTGGATCTAATTTGAAGAGAAAAATAGAATCAGTCACTAGGCATTATTCATTATAAGTAGAAAGAAATCTCTCTTGCTCTCTCGCACTTTCCCTCTCACGCATCAAGTGTATGTTGTTGCAATGCCGGTTCTGAATTATGGGCTTGTTGACTATTTTCAGAAGTCCATTCTTAGGCTTATAACAATTCAGGTCTCCTAGAAGTCACATACCTGCGCCATCTTCCTCCAGCTGCCACTCGGAAATACTCTTATCTGAAATCTGTGGAATCCATGCAGTTTTCCATTTTTTTCCCCTAAGATCCTTGGAAACCTGGCACAAATACTGTCTCAAATTCAAAATAATTGCTGCTTTCCCTTTAACAGACTGACGTTTCCTTAATGGATTTAAAGTTTTATTGTTTCCATGCCTTTTGTTATAAACTACATAAAATCACTTCTGCCCAATCTAACACCATTTAATTTTTTAAAAGTCTACTATTATGAAACCTGTTCTGTTATTATAGATCATTTGCTATTTAACTATCAGTATTTACCATAAAAATAGGATGCTTTTAGAATGATTGTTGAAAACCCATTTGTAAAACCCTTTTTGTTTTAAAAGTAAGGCGGTTAAAGGACTCAATATAAATTAAAATACGCTTTTCATGTGAAAGCAGTGAAGAGTCAGTATGAGTTTCAAGTATGCCTGGTTCACCGAGAATAACGGAAATATTCTATAAAGGGCCAGCATAAATGATTAGTGATTAAAAGGTAGCTGCAATTTAAACTTAATACGATGGGCTTTTTTCAAGTGTTGAAGTCACCTTTCTACTACAAGTAAGTCTTGACCTGGGTGTTTGTGGACAGAGGCAATTCACGGAGGGCTAACCGCAAATAGAATAAAAAGACTCTGTTGGCCTAACAATGACTTTTGCGTAATGAGCACAAGGATAAAATAGTATTATTTTGAAAAAATATATATATATATACACACACACTACATAGAGATTTTTTCCTTGCTCTCTGAATGAAGGCTGGCTTCCATGTCCTGGGAGCATCTGACAGTCATCAAAAGAGGGTTCTCGTGCTGGTGGTGCCACAGCCTCTCTGGGAAAGGGTCCTTCCTGACCCAGCACTTGGCTTTGTGAGGAGAAAAACAGGTATCCAGCCAGACAACATGCATGCAGAGCGACCTGACAATCTTTGGAGGCCCAGCTGTCACTGTCCTTCTCAGCTTCATAAGTGCCCTCTTACTGCCCCAAAACAGCCGGTGGGAAATGAGCTTGCCTGCCTGTCTCTGCTCACGCTAGGCCTGCACAGACGTTTTCCTTAGGAAGAGGGAGCTCCACCGCTGGTTGAGCTGGACCAGTCCCGCTGTCAGTTCACAAGTGCTGAGGCTGAGGTCGCAGGCCGCCTCTGAGGGGATCCAGTGGTTGGCAGCAGTGATGCATCTAATGCCTGTTCCCACCTGGGCCAACTCTCCTGTCATTTTTATTTTGACTCTATCCAGCTACTGTAATAGGACCCTAAACTTCAAGCCCTCTTTGGGCACCCCTGTATTATTATAGCTCAAGTAAAAGATAGATCAGGATCAAATAGATTAAATCTAATACAACCAGTGATTCATCAGTAGTTTTTAGGCTCATAAATAACATGGAGCTTTTTTTCTTTGAACTTTATTTCCAACTAGTTTGTGGAGTTGTAATATTTAAATTAGATACAGAGTATACCTCGTGAAGAACCAAATTCTATTGGGCAAACCTGTAAGTTCCTCATGTCCATTTCATTCATTCATTATTTACTTATTGAAGTGTCATCTCATAGGAAATCCCAGAGGGCATTTTCTTAATGTCTTCCCCATTTTGAGTTTAAAAGGGACTGATGTCACCTGGATCTCCAAGTACTGACACATTTCAGCTCAGTTAGTAATTACTGACTATGTGTTAGGAGTTATGGGCAGTGCCTGACATTGGTTTTGACCTGTACTGGGTGAGCACCGGGGTGCAAAATCAAAGGACACCAACCTCCACCCGGCCCAGCAGTTCCTTGTCAAGGTGGTCATACGCACACACTCACTGAAGTGGACCAATCACTTTCTTAACTTTTGCCGTAAATTGCTGTGTGCCATCCGCTGTCCTGTTTTTCCTTTTATCGCTTATTGAGTTAATGAAAATTTTTTTAAATACATGGAAACACATATATCCTTTCTGTCTGGTCCACTTTTGTAGAAAGGAAGATGGGGTGTAGACTGATTTCATACCTTCGAAGGCTTTATATATGCTGGAAACTTGAGTTTTTCAAAACACTGTATGTTTTGAAAAAATGATCAACAGAATGTCCCGCGTTACATTTGTGCATCTAATTTGGGTTATGCTGTGAGAAGTGTCCTTGCCTGATGCCTGAGTTAACTTTACAGACTGGTGTTAGGGTTTGAAACAAAGGAAAACAAAAGAGAGCTTTTCCTTCACCCTTCAAGTAAAACTATTAGAAGCAGCCCCCTGGAAGACTTGACCATGTTACCGTGAGTAAACCAGGCCCGAAGGAGCTAGTCTCTGACACGCACACCTTCGTGAGACTGTGGGAAATTCACAAGCTGGTCTTCTCTGGGTGAAACACAAGCTCCGGTTCGTTGGGGCACTGGTTTTCCTTTGATCCTCCCCTATTTTAGGTCTGGTTTACAGCCTAGTTGGACTGTCCTCTGTCTAGAGGTGATGCTTTAGTGTCTTACTGCCTCTCCTCACTCCCAACTGGGACATTTGGTTTGGGGAGGGAGAGAGAAAAGCTGAACTTGTTTTCCAAATGTAAAGATTCAGAGTAGTTTGTGGCCTTCAGTTAGGTGGGTGGCTGTGACACAGCAGTTATTTTTCTTTACCAGGTGCTAACCAGGAATTAATCCTATATCAGTTTGTCTCTTCTCAAAAAGATCTGATGTGATGATGGAGTTGATGTACTATTTCCATGAATCTCTTAGTATTTGAAATATATAAACCTCAGGATTTTAGAGATGGGCCGCTTTTCACAAATTAACTTTTCACGTTTTGAATATAGTGACTGAGTGCCTTAATGTGACGTAAACACAAATACCTTGAGTACAGTTGTCCTCATGAGAGATATTATCCCTGGAACACCAGATCTTTTTTTAAAAATTTATTTTATTTATTTTTGGCTGCGTTGGGTCTTTGTTGCTGTGCGCGGGCTTTCTCTAGTTGCGGCGAGTAGGGACTGCTCTCCGTTGCGGTGCACAGGCTTCTCATTGTGGTGGCTTCTCTTGTTGCGGAGCACGGGCTCCAGGGCGTGTGGGCTTCAGTAGTTGTGGCACGTGGGCTCAGTAGTTGTGGCTCACAGGCTCTTGAGCACAGACTCAGTAGTTGTGGCGCACGGGCTTAGTTGCTCCGCGGCATGTGGGATCTTCCCGGACCAGGGCTCGAACCCGTGTCCCCTGCACTGGCAGGTGGATTCTTAACCACTGCGCCCCCAGGGAAGCAGCCCCACAGTATCTTTTTAATTTTAATTTAATTTAATTTAATTTATTTTTGGCTGCATTGAGCCTTTGTTGCTGTGCGTGGGCTTTCTCTAGTTGTGGTGAGCGGGGGCTACTCTTCATTGCAGTGCATGGGCTTCTCATTGCGGTGGCTTCTCGTTGCGGAGCACAGGCTCTAGGCATGCAGGCTTCAGTGGTTGTGGTGCTTGGGCTTCAGTAGTTGTGGCTCACGGGCTTAGCTGCTCCGTGGCATGTGGGATATTCCCGGACCAGGGCTTGAACCCGTGTCCCTTGCATTGGCAGTCGGATTCTTAATCACCGTGCCACCAGGAAAGCCCGGAACACAATATCTTGCTGAATTTTCATACCTAGACTTGTGACAAGTATATTTATATGAATAGTCAGATCTTGTGGTGATTTGCAACTGCTGATGGTCTGTCTTTATTGAGTTTTCTATCAGCATAGTTTCAACATTTTTTGAAGCATTGGGTTTCTGTTCCTTTGATTTCACCAAAATACTTGTTATGTTTTAAAGAAAAAAAAAAAAAGCACTGATATTGTCATATATTGTGGGATGTTATATGATAGCATTTTTGAAGTTTTTAACAGAATAGTTGAGATTTCAGATGACTAATACGTTCAAAAATACTAAAAAAGAAAGATCCTAGTCATTTACATAATGAAAACCACACTGAGGACAGATCCGTCCTCTGCATCTGGTTATGCAGCCGGGATGCTGGGTGAGCTCGCAAGGACTATGAAAGGACTGACGTGAGGGCTGAGGGTCCAGGCCTGAGCTCCATCTGCACACAGTTACAGCCAAGGGCTGCAGTGACTCCCAATCAGGGGAGCCAGCTGACCCTAATGCAAACCAGATGGACCATTTCTTAAAATGCAAATTGCAAGACCATTGCACGTCATAATTAAAGAGATTCTCAGATGAAGGAATTTGAACTGACAGTGCCCTGACAGTCATCATGCGCCATGAAGGCTCTTGGTAGCTGAGTGATATTCAAGACTGAAGCCTCAGAGCATGGGGGTGCGGATGCAACTCAGCAGCGGCAGCTCTGCTGCCGACGAGTTCAGGGTGCTTCCAGTGACTCGAGGATTTACTCTAGCTGCGTTTACGCTAGAGGATTAGACACGGAGAGCCAAGAAAGTGCTCTCAGAGAAAGTGCTCTGTGAGGTTCAGGAACTAGCCAGCCATCGTCTCTTTAAATAGTAAGTAAAGGAATGTTTGAGCCTTAGGACCTTGACCGAAAAGGAGATGTGAGCTCCTTGACAGGATACACACGCCAGAGGAGGTGGCACCGAACGCCTGCGATACGTCTTTTCCTTGCCCTCCGTGACTCTCAAGCAGGGAGGGGTTTACCATCGTCACAAGGATGTGTGTACCTGTTCGAGTCCTCTCACGTCCCCAGGTGCATTCCTGAGAGAAGAATAAGAAAGCGGGTTGGGCTGTTTCTTCAGCGAACAGTTCGGGGCCGTTCGCTCTTGCAGAGCGCTCTCTCCGAGGACATGGAGGAGGCGTGCTTCTTGACCTCTGGGGGTTTAGCTCTGCGGGGAAGACACACATCATTACACGAGCTGGCTGTGGAGAGAGGCACTTAAGTGCATTTCGACAGGTTAAATGCTCACGAGCTGGCAGGAGAATGGAGCCTGTCTTTGCAGTCGGGAGCTTTAGGGAAAGCGGCTCCAAAGGGTGGCATTTGGACTGAGCCTGGAAGTATTCCAGGGTCTGTGGCCAGAAAATAGAAGGAAAGAGATTTCTGAGTGGAGAAGACACCAGGAACAGGCCGTGGTAGTAGAGGGAGTGCCCGGCAGTGTGTTTGTGGGAAAGCTGGGTGGAAAGGCAGGGTGTGCGACAGACGCGTAAAATGTACCACGAGATCAACTGAAAGATAACGGGTAGGCGGTGGTGAAAGATGGAGGCCTCGAGTGAGATGCAGAGACGTTTCCCTCCCTTCTGTAGCAAACGGATGCGCTTGAACATTCTGAGAAGGAGTAGGAGAGCCTCCCTCCTCCACTTGAAGAAAATAACCACAAATACGGTGAAGAGGGAATTGGAGAAAAGAGACTGGCTTGCAGGGCGATGGGTTAGAGGCTATGGTGACGGTCCAGACAGGAGAGGAAAGTGCCTAAAACAGGTGGTCACCATGGAGACAGGATGACTGAGGGGTTCCTGAAATTATACTCTGCAGTAAAACCACAGGATGTTGGTAGGTGCAAGCAAAAGACAGAAGGTTCTGGGAACCCTTCGATGTCCAACAGCCTAGAGATGTCACGAAGGCGTACGTCTCAGGAGGAGGGGCGTATCCGGGGACAGGCATTTGAGAGGGGACTTATGCAGGTGCATGAGGTCCTGCAGCCCAGAGGGGGACTGGGGGTAGATATGAGAATCACTCACTCTGCAGAAATATTCTGGGCATGGAAGCGTAAGTGTACGGTTATGCACCGAGGAGTTTCTGACATGAGCTTGAAAAAGACTCTTGCAGGGGCACAGCAGGAGCAAAGACTAGGACGGAAGAGTCCCACAGCAACCAGGAACTTCAAGGACGTTAGAATCAGAATGTCCAAGGGACTTGCAGAGCTACGGAAACCCCTTCTTTTCTCTACCTTTCTAAGTGGCTTTTCCTAATCCGAAATGTGGCAGAAAATTCAGGGAGAAACCGGAGATGGGTCATAGCTCCAGGCAATTTATTTAATCTTCCTCAGACTCAATTCCCTGGGGCTCAAAATGTAGCTGGTTCACCCTTCACCCACTTGATGAGGCCACAGCAAGGATCACAGGAGACAACTTTATGGTAAAGTGAAGGGCAACGTACAGACACAACCCGCCAGCAAATCAACATGGAGAATGCATGCAATAGGGGCGGTGACTGTGGTTGTTTAGAAAATAGTTTTTTGGGTTTTTTTAAATTTATTTATTTTGTTTTTATTTTATTTATTTTTGGCTGAATTGGGTCTTCGTCGGTGCACGCGGGCTTTCTCTAGTTGCGGCGAGAGGGGGCTACTCTTCGTTGCGGTGTGCGAGCTTCTCATTGCACTGGCTTCTCGTTGCGGAGCACGGGCTCTAGGCGCGTGGGCTTCAGTAGTTGTGGCGCGTGGGCTCAGTAGTTGTGGGTCGCGGGCTCTAGAGCGCAGGCTCAGTAGTTGTGGCGCACGGGCTTAGTTGCTCTGCGGCGTGTGGGATCTTCCTGGACCAGGGCTCGAACCCGTGTCACCTGCGTTGGCAGGCGGATTCTTATTAACCACTGCACCACCAGGGAAGCCCTAGAAAATAGTTTTTAAGAGTCAGTGAGCTTTTGAGCTCACTCAAAAGCCATTTTAAAATTATCCAACTCTGCCCACCTCGGTGTTTAATGACTTTAAAAGTTCCCAGCACAAGATGTGGCTTGGATTAAGATCAGAATGAAATGAGTTGAATTCAGCCACATCACTAACATGCATCAGAGCTTATATTTTGTATTTGCACATTTTCTAGTTTTCTCAGTTTAAACTTAAGAAACGGAAAAATTAATGCAGCGTTCTGAACTAACCATTTCAAATGCTCAGTTGTCAGTGCTTTAGGCAAATACTCATTCTCAGCAGAGAATGATTTTAATGCAACTGGTGTTCTTGGTTTGGATGGCATTGAACATCATGATGCCATAGAGTCTACCTAATTCAGTTAGTTTCATATGTCCTGTTAGTATTATAAATTTGTTTTAAAACTCCCTTTCCATAACTGGCTGCTATTTTGAACCGTGGTTCTTAAATCTTTCAGTTACCAGGCAACTTGCATGCACTGTAGGGGGAAAAAGAAGTCAAAATGATGAACTACTTTCCACTGAGGCACCTGTGAGGGACTTCTGAAGCCAGGCACTCACTCATGCCAAAACCAAACATTATCAATTCATCTTTTTCCAATTTTAGACGGTAAGTCGGTAGGGCAGGGGCCCAGCAGTCAGTTGGGGAATCCACAAGACCCATGCTTTGGAAACCATTCTTGTAAGATTTGACCACGTGAGAGGATTGGGCTTTATAATGTTTTCCTTAAGAGGAAAACTCGCTCCGATAGAGAGAAGAGCAAACTTGAGAACCGTGCTTTAAGGACCCTAGGATCTGTCAGCAGAGACGGAGCGTGTTACGGGGGAAAGAGGACTCAAGCCTCCTCATGACTGTCGCCCCGTGTGGATTCCGGGTTAGCCTCCAGTGGTGCAGCTTGGGAACAGGATTTACTTGGAAGAACACGCCTAAAGGAATTGCTCTAGAGGTTACCTTGTTCAGAATCAGGAAATCAGTTTAGACCCTCTAAAAAAACTGGGAGAGCGAAACTGAACTTCGTCTCAGGAGATTTCAAATGTGAACCCCTGATAGGGAGAAGCTGCTTTTAAGAAAGGAAATAGAGGATCCGTTGTCACGAGATGAGATTTGTCTCTTCCGTAGATTTTCTTTCTCGACTTTCACCGCACTCCGAGTCACACACGGGCTGTTTTAACTGGCGCGGTTCTGTTTCAGGTGTCCCCCTGAAGCCCAGGAAGGAGTTACGATTCACAGAACTGCAGTCCGGGCAGCTGGAGATTAAGTGGTCCTCCAAATTCAATATTTCAATTGAGCCTGTGATCTACGTGGTACAAAGAAGATGGAATTATGGAATCCATCCTAGTGAAGACGACGCAACGCATTGGCAGACGGTAGCCCAGGTTAGTGCTTCATAGGCTTTGTTTTCCCCTTGAGGCAGTGTCTCCTTTGCCTACAGAGAGAAACTTAGCTTGCTGTGCCTCGGTCAAAACAACCTGAGCACCGAAATCACGTAATCCAAAGTGGACGTGCCCTGCATGTTGGCGGAAGACGGGATGGGCTCTGTAGGTATAACCGGGTACCACGAGAAACTTGGCTTAATGTGTTCACAGCGCACGTGGAAGGGAGACGGTTTTCTAATGAGTGTTCACATTTATCCCAAGAAGTACGCTTCCTCGAGATAAACTTAAAACCGACTAGAGTGAGGGAAATGCAACACCCGTAGGACTCGTCAGTGTGCTATTTGATCATCTCAATGACTTCTCTATTTCTCCTACATAATTTAAGCCTTTATTCCGCATGGGACTTTCGTGGCGGGAGGAAGATTCATGTCACAGAGGTACTTAGTGGGAAGCGGCCAGCAGCTCATCAATCTCCCCTAAGTGCTTTCTTCTTCTTGGTCAGCTTACCAACTGGGAGGCCACCTGGATGGAGTTTATCTTCCCAGTGCTTTACCTCCTCTGTCTTGTGGATGTGAAAAGCAAAATATTTTCTTTCTTTTTAAGAGCTGTTAAATGGACTACCAGCTGCAAGCAGCCTCCACGGATGGAGAAAAGAATAAATTCTCAATATGCAGCTGCTTCATGCTTTTCAGCAACTGAAATGCCTTCTCTACATGTAGGTCTCTAGGGGGAATTTCTGTCCTGATCGGGTCATCTTTTTCTCCAAGGACAAGATTCCCATGATTCTTTTTCAGTAAATATAAAATAAATTTCAGCATTCAGGTGTTTAGGAGAAGAATTTGGTCCCCTTTCGCAATAGTAGTATCTCAGAGAGGATAAACACTGAAATAATTTAAATACCACCCAAATCAATGAGAAATGTGATGTTAAGAGAAACATCTTAAATTGGGGGGGGGGAATGGTCAGATAAATTTAGCAATTCTATTCCATACCTATTTTGTTAAAAAATTGCGCTTTAACAAAACATAAAGATGTTCAGAATACAGCCTGAAATTATATTTGGTTTACGTGGCATTCTCCCTTCAATGATACAGTATCATTTGTAACTTTTCCAAATTATGCAATTTCCAAATATTTCCAAATCATAAATTTGAAGATTTATGGAAGTACCTGATGATAAGCCCTTCTCTTTCATATCCTCTTATTTGGAGAGAGGAAAGACCTTGCCCTATCATGTCTGTTATTATTACTATTTTCACTAGTTAATACCGCATGCAATGCTACCTTTCTCTGTCTGCTGAATGCTGTGGCTGGCATGCTGGCTTTAGTTCCTTAAATTGAAAGCTAAACCTAGACAGACAAGTCAGTGAAAAGGTTGTCTCAAATTCTGCCAAACGAGGGAGAAAAGCCACACTTGAGGCCACCCTCTTCCTCTGATCTCGGAGATGCTTAGCTTCTTGTGAATGTTAAAGTACACATGACGATCCTTTCCGACAGGTTATTATAAACTCAGCTTTAGGAGGGTTTCAGTTCAGTTCTGTTTCCCGGTTTTATCCACCGAGCGCCAAGCTGAGCTCAGCGCTTGGCGCACGTGAGGCATAGAACTCGGGCGTCTATCCCTCGGAGTCAAGGCCAAGGTTTCACGTCTACCCTAGGACACTGCTGGAAGCAGGCATATTGCCCTGAGTTTGATGAAGGGGGAGGGCCTTGGGAAGATGCTCAAGTCGTTTGATATCTCGGGACGTAGCTGTAGGGACATCAAGACCCGTGGACTTGTCCCATTGTCCAGTTTTCTTCTCTGGACGTTTTATCGGACGAAACATACCTCACCCTTCAGGAACACGACTCTTTGCAGATCTTGCATGATTTACTCAAATTAAACAAAAAAGTCTTGGGTTGCAGTGTACTTCCAGAATTTAAGCGTGTGGGTTCACGTGCATTCTTCCAAAATTATATTTGGCACGCAAGTAGGAGGCATTTCCCTTCTATAAACTAAAGTTGATTTCATTTTCTCTATACTGTAATGATTACTTCATGTATTTATTCGTTCATAAGTATAATTTATTGATGAAATATCTCCAATGCTGTATTTAGTCACCAGATTATAAAACAGCCCAAGCTTTCGTCACGAGATTTTGACTTCCAGAGAGCTTTAACTCTTTGAGGTAAAATACTTACGAATGGAATCAAGCAGTTGGAAACTTCCCTAGGAATTCCTTGGTCCCCGACAGCCCCTCATCCAGGAGGGCAGGGGAGGGCAAGGTTGTGTTGCATGGGCTGATGAGTGCGTGTGTTTCTAAAACATACCTGATGGGCACGTCAGGATAAAGGGGATCTCTGTGCTCTGTGACTTTCCCCTCAGACCACGGATGAGCGGGTCCAGCTGACCGACATACGGCCCAGCAGGTGGTACCAGTTCCGCGTGGCAGCCGTGAACGTGCACGGGACCCGAGGCTTCACCGCCCCCAGCAAACACTTCCGCTCCTCCAAAGGTCAGTATCGCTTGCCTGCCCCTCAGTGCCCAACTTGCCATGGGGGCGCATCCATCTCATCTCCAAGTTCTTATGTGTGGTTGGCCAACAGGTGGCTGTGCTGTGCTTAGCCAACGGGACCAGATGGGTCTGAAGGTGCCGGCGAATTTATGATTAGGACCATCCCTGGGCTTTTACCTCTGAGAGACTGCAGAAAATAATGTGATGGGGTTTTCTCAACTCTGAAGTCATGGTTTTCCGTGGTCACCTTCCGTTGGCTCTCTCAATATATTCTGAGTCAAGCACCATTCAATTAATTTTTGGAGAGAAGGGTTTAGTTTCTGCCACATCAGACTATGCAGGTTTCTTGAAGCAACTGCTATACTGAGTGTGAATTAATCTCTTTTGTTTCATAAGAGGCAGAATTTAAATCCCTCCCGAGTCACTTTATCATGGCTATCATTTGTTCAGTTCCTATTTCAGTGCTATTTTAAAACCTCTGTGGGATCCGATGAATACTAACTATATTACATTTGTGGTTAGTTTAGTCTGTGATAGTGGGAGGACATCATTTGACTGGATATTAATAATAGCTCCGAGTTTATTTCTCCAGTTGTGTTGAGATGGCTGTGTGTGCTCTGAATTAATGATACATCTGCTTGGCTAATAGTGAGGGCCAGTTTCATGCATAGAGGTTCGTCAGGTGATTCCCTTACTAATCAGCAGTTATCCTCTTAGTGAGCTCGTTTAAGTTTATTTTAAGAATACATTATGATATTAATGAATAATGTGAGACTGGTAACATCAATCATGTCTTTCAAAATGGGAAGGTTTGAACTGGCTGCCATAAATTGCAATTTCCATTCCATTTTGGGCAAAATGTATGTTTCCGTTAGTCCATTTCTCACCAGATAATATTGCCACACCTTTCTCTGCACAATCATAGGTCTCAAGTGGAAACCTTGCAACCAGATCAATTTAGTATTTGAATTCTATTACAGTGTATGTTGTAGATTTTTAAGTCTTTCTTTTAAAAAGTCCTTTTAAGAAAAGAAAGGTGCACCACACACACACCCCCCCCCCATAAAATCGTTGTGTCTTTCCCCTCACCTGTTGGGCTCTCAGTAAAGCCTTGAAATCCTGCCCCAAATTCCCGTCATCATTTGTTCCGAGAGTCTCGCTCTTCTCTGCGGTGTTTCTCTGCTTTCCAGGGATCGCACTTGTGTGCCAGTCCGGCAGCTTGTTTCCTTTCTTTCAGTCCCAGGCACTGATGTGCAGTTTCTCCCCCCCCCCCCCCCCAGCCCCGAGGCAAATACACTGAGCAGGTCCAAAAATGAAATAAGAAATACAGACATCAGACCTTCCTTGTCTGAGGACTGTCTCCAAGTGGTCCGAGGACTGAGAGAGGCCATGGGAATAAGTAATTAACAGTGGGTTCAGAGGCAAGGATCGGTACAGGGCTCGAGAAGTGTTCACCTTGACCTTGGCAGTTCAAATGCCGTCCACACGTGCTGTGGTCACAGTGCGTTCCTATCTCCTCCCTTGCCGGCAGGATTGGGGTCTGGTGCTCTCAGATTATGGCTGCACGTCCAGACATGAGGCAGAGCAGCTCCCAGCCTCTGCAGACAGAGGTGGAATCCCTTTCAGAGTCGGACGGGGTCTGGGCAGAGGCCCCCAGGGCCGGCCTGGTAGCTGCCAACCAGCAAAGAGGCATCTGTTCTGGGGAGGCAGCAAGGCCGTGCTGTCCCAGCCCTTCCTACATGTCTGAGGACCGTATGTGTCTAGAATTAGAGCGGCATCCCTCAAATTTAAACAGGCTTTTGTTGAAGGAAAGTGCACCATTTTGGGGAAACCTTGCAGTCACCATTAAATTGTTCTATTTCTTGGTTTTGCACGTATGCCCAACATTCAGCATTCCAGACTTCAGTTCTTGCACTTCTGAAACCAAAAATATTATGCCTAGAATTTATGGCAGATTCTACGGTTTTCACTGAAGATGCACCACAGAATGATGGGAATATAATAGACCCACTAAACAGATGAAAGCATTTCCTCCAGGATATGGCTAAGGATACGTCACCGTTTACAAGGTGGTGCCCCGTCTTCCCTCACCTTAGTCAGTTCTCATCAAGCGTAGAAATGTGTCTTACTGGGAAAAGAATTTTTAACAGCCTTATTGAAATATAATTTACATACCATAAAATTCACTCATTTTAAATGTGTTAGCCAGTGATTTTTAGTATTTACCATAAAGTCGTGCAAGTATCCTTTACACAGTTTTAGAATCCTCCAGGAGCCTCCCTGGCTTACTGGGAGAATTTTAGGGTAGAAATAAAGTGTTTTGGGGTCTCGTTTTATCACTCACGTTTCATTCCCTTTTTTTATTAAACAAATGTTTGTTGAGCACCTGCTCTGTGTCAGGCACTGTGCTAGGCACTGAGGTAACAAGTAAAAGACAAAAATGTCTGCTCTTGTGGAAAACACACACACACACACACACACACACACACACACACACACACGGATTCACTCTAATCGGGGGCGAGAGGGAACAGTAAACAAGATTAATACATAAAACACTCTCATATACTAGGGTAGAGAGTGATAACTGACAGTGCGAAAAATAAAGAATAGACATGGGAGCTGTGGGGAAGGGAGTGTTTTTGCTTTCTCCTATTTCAGGGAGGGCGGCCACAGAAGAGATGCTGTATAAAGGAGTGAAGGGCTGGCCTTGCACCGTCCGAAGGAAGAGCCTTCTGGTTCCAGGGGCTGGAGCCTGAGGGTGGAGTAGAGAAGGGTGCAGACTGAAAGGAAGGAGGGGCTGGGCGTGCTGGGTCTCCAGGGTCACAGTACGGAGCGCCAGTGCAGTATTCCCGCTCACAGGGCACCGCGCCGAGTGGAGAGAGCCAGACAGAGGAAGACGAGCGCTCTGCGTTGTCGTTTATACGTGGATCTAAAAAGCACAGCAAACCAGTGATGCAACAGCGGTAACGAAAGGTGACAGTAACATGGACAGAGGCCAGAGTCAGCTGGCCGGGGAGCACATGCGGAAGGGTGACTCTGATAGGCTTCGGGGACTTACCCGTGGCCTGTAGGAAATGACTCCAGGGTCTTTGGTCAGGAACTGCTGGGAGATTGGTGCTGCCAGTGACTAAAACAGAGATGACTGAGATGAGGGTGTTTCAGGCGCAGACTCTCTTCTTCCTTTGGAGGGGTACATATTTCCAGAACAGGAGTAATCCTTGCCCAGCCAGTATGACTGCTGTGTTTTAGGGCCATTCATGCACACGGGCTTTTCTGAGGGGTGGACGTACCCCGGAGAAGGACCCTGGACGTGCTGGAAACACGAGTAATCAAAGGAGCAGCTGAAGACACAAAAATAACTTTGTTTCTACCTTAAAATTTTCCTGGCAGGGCACGGAGGATCTTAATGGGGTAGCGGAATCCTCCTAAAATGGATGGTGGTGGTGGTGACACACTGAGGAAACACTAGAAATCACTGCTTGCACACTTGAGTGAACTGTATGGTCTATAAATTCTAGTTCAGTAAGATTGTTACATGTTTTTCCCCCAGCAAGCACTTTTGCATATTTGTAAATGCAGTGGAGTAAGATGGGGAGAGACGAGGTGGACCGACCTGGCAGTGTCCTCAGCCGTCAGGCAGGTCTGTTATCCCCTCGCCCCCAGCCCCGTTCTGTGATGCATCTTCCCGGAGACCACCAGAGGATCTGTGACGACCAGCGCACACACGCTTTTGGTTTGCAGAGCACAAGGACTGAAGTCTGGAATGCGCCTTGCCTTGAGACGTATGGAAGGACGCATGTGCGGTGTGGTTTGTAAAAGCAAATAGCACCACATTTTAACGGTCACTGCAGCGCTTCCAAAAGCGGTGCCTTTTCATTTAATTAAAAGCCCACTTATGCCCGCCGTGCTCCAGAACCAACTGACACTGTACCGGTTGTACGTCCTCTAGTGGTTTTAAATTACTTTAAGAAATGGTGCTTCCACAATAATTGTCTGTGCAAAGGGTAGGCAATTTTCTAGTGCATTTGAATTTGGATATGGGACCAGACTTGATCATTTAAGGCTGGGTCAAGGGAAGGGGAAAGGATCTTTTCCGTCTTCCACGAACACCTCTGAAAATAAAAGCAAAATTAAATAGGACAATAAAAAAACTTGGTAAAATGGGCGTCATTTAGTTTAGTTAGGCCTGCCGCCTGATATTCATCCTGATTCTCACAGAAGAGCCAAAATTCTTGTCTTTCTCTTCTTTAGCGTTAGTTTTAAATACAAAATTACGAGTCTGTGGTAATTGCCTGAATAGATTGGTTACTCAGTTAGTTTCCTTTTAACTTTTTTTTTTTTTTTTTTTTTTTTTTTTTTTGG